GCAAGATATGATTGTGCCCATTGTACAGATGAAAACAGTGTGTCTCAAAGAGATGAAGTGACTCGCACGTGGCTTTCTTCTGGGAAAGGCTCCCATCTGACATCAGCACTCACCCCTTCCTACTGATGGTTCTTCCAACTCTTCTTCCCTATCTTAGGTGCTCATAGGGTCAACACCCACCCCCCATTACACAGAGCCCTTAACTCAGGCTGAGACCCAAGCCCTGGACTTTCCAGTCCTGAGACCCCCCCCAACACAACACAATGTCTCAGATCCCATCTCTGTCGATTGCTATTTTCTTCCAGGAAGGAAATAAAAAATTCATCTATACTAAAGTGTCAGTGGGCTGAGGTGCCCTTTATTCCTTAGAAATATGTTTCTTCTGATCTGAGGTCTTCAGACCATAGAGACCACCACCCCCATCTGTGCAGGACGTGTGCTCCCTGCCCTGGTGGCTGCCATCTTGCTTCCTCCACGTGAGGAGGAGCCACCCGCCCCCACCTGGAGTCAGGCAGTGCACATTTAGACAGTGGTCCTGCCTTTCCAGAGACAGCGTTTAATCCAAGGAACACATTGTTAGCAAGAACTCATGACCACGAGTCAGGAGACCTGGATCTGATCTGGAATCGCCCACGAGCCTCTGACCCTCTCGCTATGGAATTCTGTTTCCTCTCCAGAAAAATCAGGGCATGTGTTTGTGCAAAGCTGAACACCTACACATGCACTGTCTCATTCAATCGCATACAAGGCAAGGCAGGCCTCCCCGTTGCAGAAACAAGGGGATGGGGCTTCCCTGGTGGTGCAGTGGTTGAGAGTCCGCCTGCCGATGCAGGGGACGCGGGTTCGTGCCCCGGTCTGGGAAGATCCCACATGCCGCGGGGCGGCTGGGCCCGTGAGCCATGGCCGCTGAGCCTGCGCATCCAGAGCCTGTGCTCCGCAATGGGAGAAGCCACAACAGTGAGAGGCACGCGTACCGCAAAAAAGAAAAAAACAAAACAAAAAACAAGGGGATGGAGGGCAGAGAGCCAAGGACTTGCCCAATACTCCACGGTTTCAGAGAGCTGGAGCCTGACCTTGGACGCCATTCTCGGATCTGCATCTAGTCCTTCCATACTCACTTGGGGGCGGGAAGCTTTCTAACCTGTAAAGTCACTTAAAGGTTTATGCGTGAGTACCTGTGCGATGGTGATCTTGGGCAGCATGGCGGGCGGTGTCATAGGGCCGCCCAGGTCCATCAGCTCCGTCCACTTGGGGGGAGACCCTTCTCCAGCTGAAGCTCAGAGCTGGCTCCTCAAGGTGCCAGGTGGAATCCCAACATTCCCTCTGCCTGCCTGGGCCTGGCAAGCGGAGCCTGAGAACAGATGCCCAGCACCTTGTTCTTGGCGAGAATGACGGATTTGTGGGTCCCCTTCCAGGAGCCGCACTCACTCCCCCGGTACACGCTGTGTCAGCCCATCCCGAGCTAGTGAAAATAAACAGAGCCATTATCCCTCTGCTGACTGCCACACAGTCTATTTATGCCACTTAAGACATGGGATAAATGGCTTCTCAGTTTCATAATGAAAGGAATATTTCATTTCGCAGAGCCGAGGAGCTGTTTATTGAGCATGAAAACAACATTCATACCGTGCTTTGATAATAAACTTATCTGGCAGTTGGTTCATTTAGGCAGTGGCTTGCATCTGACTCAGTTGTTCCCGCTGAGGTTGGTGTGGGTTTGGGGAACGGGGGTACACGGAGCCTGTGTTCAGGGCAGGCTTGGGGCCCTGAGATGCCCTTTCCATTGACTGCATTGACTCACTAGTCTTCACGGCACTCCCTTAGGTGGCTGCCATTATTATCCCCATTTCACAGGGGGGAAACCGAGGCACAGAAAAGCTCAGCAGCTTTCCCAGGTCACAGAGCCAGTATTAAATGGTATCGAGTGGTACAGCTTGAATTAAATGCACAGCCAGCAGACTGGCTCCAGAGCCTATCCTCTTAACCACCAAGCTGAGATCTGTTCTCAACCTAATAAAGGTCTAGAAGGTGGGAGGAATACACCAAGAGGAGGTGAACCAAGGAACTTGGCAGACTTAGAAGCTAGAAGGGGCCAGGGAGCCTCAGAAGGAACCAGACATGCTGACATTTTGATTTCAGCTCCATAAAACTCATTTCTGAATTCTGACCTCCAGAACTGTCAGAGAATAAACGTGTGTTGCTGTAAGCCACTAAGTGAATGGGAATTTGTTTCAGCAGCCACAGGAAACTCATTTAGTCCTCTACAGTACCATTTAGTCCTCTAGTTTGCTCCTGATTTCAAAACTGTTGTCCCATGGACTCCACAAATACACCAGAATTTGTCAGTATCCCGATTTAAGATCAGAAAAAATCCATTGCTATCTATGTAGTTTGACCACCAAGGAGAATCCTGAAGTTCAGAGATGGGACATGACTGTGCTCAAAATCACAAGGTAACAATGGCAAAGGTGGCACTGGAACCCAGGACCTTGGTTTCCAGAAGAATCCTTTGTCTCCTTCTGCAGACTCTCCCTCCTTTTTTGGGCAACCTATACTTCTAAGGAGTGACAAAGTAGGGGATAACTGTGGCATCTCAGAGCTATTTCCTGTGTGAATGGGTATGTGTGTGTACATTTCTCCCTGGGTTTTGTTGTTGGTTGGTTATTTTATTTTTTCCCCACAGCAGATTCTAGGCCTGTACAGTGAGTAAGAGGACCTTATTCTGAGTTTGCATCGTCTTCCTACTTTCCGGTTGAGGACTTTTTTGGTGAGGAAGGGGTAACCAAACCATTTCATGTTCCTCCTGGGCATGGCCCTAGCATCTAGGCAGGGCCATGTGACTAGCTCTAGTCAATGGAATGTGGTAGAAGTGAGATCTGCCACTTGCAGGCCTGGCTCCTAGAGCCTCCACAGCTCCCCTTTTTACATCTACCTTGCTCATTCGCTGGCTGGATGTGTAAGATCCCAAGGAGGACATTGAGGGCACTTAGGTGCCCTCCTAAGCTAAGTAAAAAGGAGCAGATACTTGAGTCACCTCTTGGAGGAGAGGCCCCCAGCAGAGCCATCTGACGGCAGTACCCACACTGGACCTTCCGTCAGTGATAAGACCAATGAACACCGAGAATTGGATGCTTGTTGCTGCAGTATAAACCAGCCTATCCCGACTAACACAGCTGACAAGATGGTACCCAATGCCTCTCAGGTGTTCAATAAATGTAATTACTGGAAGGGCCCTTAGAAAGGAGCTGTTTCTCTGGGTGAGTATCAGATGGGGTCTGTGAAATAAGTACCCATATAGCTTCTAGCTGTATCTAGCTATATCCTTCTAGCTCTACCTATAAATTCACGAAAAGACAGAGTTAATAGGAGTGATTGCAACAACCAGAGGAAAATAGCTTCGTAACTCTTCCGCTAAATGGTAACTTCTTACCAGACTTACCATTGCCTTCTACCCTTTGCCTTCAGACACTGCTCCATCTGGGAGAGTCTAAGGCCAGGACCAAGGTTCCTTGGTCCTGGCTTGAGTCCCTCCTGGTGGGATTTTCCTGTCTACTATTCTCGAGGGTCTCCTAGTAAAGATAAGTGATTCTTGGAGAGAGGGTCAGGCCCTAGGAGAATGGATGCGGCCCAGGAGGGAGACAGGGGAAGAGAGTAGAGAGGCTCTACCTCTAGAGCAGGAGAAGTGGCAGGGTCTCTCCAGGCAAGGCTGCAGCATCAGGCTAAGAATCCCCCTCCCCTCCATTCTCTTCTTTAAGAGATGCCGTCTGAGACTTTGGGAAGTAGATCCAAGCCCAACTGGCTCTAGAGGCCAATAGACATAAAAAAATATGTCCACCCTCCCAAGGAACCCGAGAAATGAGAATTGGAACAACAATATATTGGGGGAAGATTTAAACTACTACCTTTTGTCAATTGTAAAACACGTTTCTTTTCACATTTTGCCATTTTGGAAATCAGAATGTGTCTTCCAGCCATAGCATACCAGAGTATAATTAGGAGCATATATGAATAGTGCTTTTTCTTTTTCATGGTACATATTTAACATAACAGTGTCTCAGATTAGATGAAATATAGTAGAAATGTGGTCTGAATCATTTATTAAAAGTGCACACATTTTTTCAACTAGAAATTTTAGGGCAGCACTTAAGTCTCTAGGTACATGTTAAGATTGCAGGAGATAAATCCCTGAGTCACCAGCTGGAGAAGAGGTGCCCAGCATAACGAATATCAGATTTTTTTAAAAATACCTACATTATGGCATTTAACCACCAAAAATACTAATTACAGGATTTCAGAATAGAATGACGTATGTAGTACTGGAGCACCGGACATGAGAACTGCAGTCTTTACACTGGGGTTATCTCTGGGTAAACGGGGAAGCCTGTCCCAGCCAGGACCTGCCTTACACACAGCAGACACTCAATAAATCGTCATTGAATTAATTAGAGTCTAGGTCTAAGGACTGATCTTTCTTTAATTTTCTTTCTCTTACATTTTGTTTCTCTCCCTTGCTTCCCCAATTCCTATTTTCTATTATAGGGATGCATGGGAGTAAGTCTCAAAATTTTAAAATATTTACAGAAAATCCTCGGCCCTTCCTTCAAGTCTGCCTCTTTCCTATGCCCCAGCCCTTCTCTAAAAAATAAAACTACTGCTCATAACTGTTACCAAAGTATGAATCTCTTGAATATGTCGGGTCTAACACTCAGCACTTTCCATGCACTGTCTAGCATTTTGTTAATATTTTCTTATGGCTTTTAACTCGCCCTTCTTTGAAATTTAGTTATTTATCTGCTTGTAAATCTCTTAAGAGGGGGATCAGGTCTTTAACCCTTTGTGAACCCCTTGCCCCCCTCACCTAGGGCTGTAATTAACATTTAGCAGGTACTCAGATGATTGAGTAGATGAAGGGATGTATGGATGGATGGATGCATGGACGTATGGATGGACAGCTGGATAAAATTACTTACATATTTTTTATTCTTCAGTCATTGAGAAAGAGGCCAAAACAGAGGTTCCCTACAACAACGGAGAGTTCGAGGTCACCGAGGCAAGGATAGATTTCACAAGGCAGGGCTGATTTATTCAATACGCAAATGAGTGAAAATGATAAAGTCCCCCCAAAGTCCAGCAAACCAGATGGGTGTCTGTGCCTGGTCAAATATGCATGATATATTCTTATTAATAAAGCCAGACTAGTGTCCGCAAATTATCCAAGGAATACATTTGCCCACCCACAGCGATGGGGGAAGCGATTACTTATTAATAAAGCAATAGCTAAATCTAATTATATCCCCATCAGAGGCAGTTGGTAATAAAATCGGGCTGGTCTTCCAGAGCTCTGTGACCTCGCTGACCTCAAATCAAAGTTTAAACCATCCGTCAGCTTCCAATACATTCCCAGCACACCTACCAATTATCAGCACCCTGGTGTCGCTGTCTGCCGGGGGTCAGAGGTCACCACATGCACTAGAGAGCTGGGAGCTGGAATGGGGCTTTAGAAATCTCATTATCCTGTTAACCATACATTTATCTGACAAGATAAAAGAGACTAGGTGACCAAGCTATCATTAAAGATTAATAGAAAGTATAAAAAATTCAGCTGCAACCAGCATTGCTGTTTAGAGCTTGTGATCGGCATGACAGGGTTATTAATGAGAGAGCCAAAAAGATTTAAGTCTTTGCTCTTAATATTTTCTATTTTTATTTTTAGTTTAGTTTTGTTTTTTTCTTTCTCTGTCTCAAGTCATTACCTCGTCTCCTACCACCCCTAACCGGAGGTCAAAGGAGATTCCTGCTAATTGGCTCTTCTGGTTTCAAATCATAACCCATCGGGCCAATTATAAAATTGCCAAGACTCAGAAGTGACGCGGGATGCAGCAGAGGGACTCTGGTGAGCTGGGGCAGCGATTCAAGCTGCTTCCGGGGCTGCCGCCCTTCCTCACGTGCCAGACCTGTTAATCAGTGGGGAAAATCAATAGGTTTTTAATTTAATTCAGCCCTAGAAAGCACGCCCAAGCCCCAAGATGATTTCTCCTCATTTGTGATTCCATCTCAGTTTTACACAGAAGATTCTCAGCCCACGCCTACCTACGAATCACAGGGCAGGCTCTGTCGTAAGGTTTAGAGATTCTTTTTATTCTTTTTGGTTCTCTCCCTATCGCCCACCTACCCCCGCCACCCTGCTTCTTCCCTGGCATCATCCTTCGTCTTTTTGGATCATAAATCAATGTCCTTTTTCTATGCAGCCATGGACGGTGTGCACTCAGATGACAACTCAGCAGGCTCCCCTTCTGCCCAGGGCCAAGGCAGAGGAGCCAGGAAGATGGTGTAGTGAGAGAAGGAAGCGGTCCAGGACGAAAGTGCAGCTCCAATCTACCCGGTGGAAGGGACTGGTGTCTCACAATCCCCAGAAGCCTGTTCAGGAAGCAAGTTGACCACAGATGCCCTGGGATCAGCTCAGCCTCAGAAGGGAGCACAGGACACCCGTCAGGCCCTCCAGGACACATGTCTGTAGCCTCTCCATCGATAGCTGGGTGACCTCAGGAAACTCAGCCAGCCACTCTGAGCCTGCTTCCCAGGCTGGAAAATGGGGACAATCTCCTCCCTCTCAGGGTTGTTTGAAGATCACAGGGAAGCCTTGAGTCCAATCTCTTCTATTGTAATCACTTCCTGGCTTGCTCTAGCTTCCTCTGGGTTCCATTAAAGCTAATCTGATAAATCAATTAAGGATAAAATTCTATTGACCAGACTCTGGCAAGTTGCCAGAGTTTGAGGACAACATTTTATCCTGTGCAACTTCACTCTCCCCACCCACTCAACACTCCCCAACAACACACACAGAAAGTGAGTTGTCTAATGACCTCGCCTTCCAGATCACAGGCACTGTTCATGCCCAGCATGTGCCCCCATGAGTGTTCCATACGTGTTTGGTGAAGGAAGGAATGAATGCCTGGCCAGATGGAAAATCCAAACCACCTGCTAGGAGGAAACTTAAGGTCAAAGACGAGCACATAGGGCTGAGGATCCAGCCCAAGGAGCCAAGGAAGGTGAAACGGAAAGAAAAATCAGGAAGAAAAGAGACAGGTGGAGAAGAGGAGTGCAAGGTGGGTCAGAGACAGTGGCTTAGGACCGAGGTCATGCACAGACGTGGCCTTTAGAAAGCTGTGACTCCAGCTCTGTGGCGTAGGGCTGGACCTGGTGGCTTCTAAGACCTGGCCGCTCTGGAAAGGATGGAGATGGTGCTGCCAGCTGCATGCCGGGAGAACCGCGACTGTCTCATTCCCCGGGGAACCAAAGCAGGAAGGGTGGAAAGAGAGGGTCTTCCAGCAGGAGGGCCACTTGAGAAAAGTGACACTTCAAGGGACAAACTTGTAGTGATGTTACATAGAACAGGGCAGAAGAGGAAAGAGTGGAATTGGGAACTGAGCAAGAAAACTAAAGTAATCGTCCAGGGGGACTTCTATCTCTGGCGGTCCAGTGGTTAAGACTCCATGCTTCCAATGCAGGAGATGCGGGTTCAATCCCTAGTCGGGGAACTAGGATCCCACGTACCGCGTGGACAAAAAATTTAAAAAAAAATTAAAAATAAAGTAATCGTCCAGGGAAGATTCCACAAAGATGGTGGCTGGGATGGTGATGCTTGGACATGATAGGAGACCAAGCAGTGTATTCAGTCTCCACCTGGACAGAGTTCACCTGGCCCCCTTCACCTGCCTGTCACATTCCTGCTCCTTGCATCCCAGGCACAGCCTGTCTGGCAGGTCCCTCCCAGCCCCACGCCCCAGGGCCAGGCCCAGTTCTGCCAGGAAAATAGAAAGGAAGTACCGGTTTCTTTCATTTCTCTCTCCTAACTCCCTCTGATTGCTAAAATCTATCTGTCTCATCTGCAAACATGTGGTGTTTTATAGTCAAAGCATTATATGTCTCATTGTTTACTAGATTATTTACTAGATGTGTACTTAATACATAATTACATTTTAAAGCATCTTTTCCCCCAGAAAATAGTTTTCCTTTAAGCCTTAATGTCCATTGTTTGAAGACCCTACACTTGAAAAACAAATCCAGGGAAAGACAAAGAACCCATGATAGTAATCAGTTGAACAGGCTGGCCTGGCAGACAGACATGGGGACAGCTTCCTTAAAGCCACACCTTCATAATAATCTCCTGAAAGATTCTGGGGCTAAAAAAGGTTGTGTGTGTATGTGTGTGTGTCTGGGTGTATTTGTGTGTATGTGTGTCAAAGTGTATCTGTACACATGTCTATGCGAGCATTTGTCTGTGTGCTGGAGGAACAAGAAAGAAGGAAGCTTGTGTTAAGAGTCTACCACTCTCCAAGTGCTTTGGGCATTAACTTTATTTAATCCCCCTTTACCCATTTTACAGCTAAGGAAGGTGACACTCAGGGAAGTAAAGAAACTTGCTCAGAATTACTCTGCCTGTGTCAGAACGGTTACTCCACAGCTCATAGTCAGCCCAGTCTTTGCTGAAAGTACTGAAGAAATCGAGGTACAATGTTTTTCCCCACCCAGTGGCATCTCCATGTTTTCTCAGATCTATTTGTATATTTTATAAGCATTTTCTGAGTGCCTTCTGGCTTGGGCATGTGGTAAAAACTTTACATATGTTATCTAATGCCATGCTCACAACACTTCTGCGAGCAAGTTTACTCTTCCAATTTCAGAGATAAGAAAATTGAGGCACTGAGAGATTAAGTAATTCCCCCATAGGAGCTATAATTCAAAAACAGTTTTGTTTGACTCCAAAGCCTGAGTCCTTGACACTATATCACACTGACTTGCTTCATTATGACCCAGTTTTGAGCCTTGAGAATTCAGAATCTAGGTAAATAGGAAAACCATACACATATAAATACCAGAGTTGTCTCAGGATGATCTATATATAAAGGACAGCAGCTACTCTACATCATCAAAACTCATATCCTCTCCATCTTCCCACTCTGTCAACACCCTCAGTATATTGGCTACTATGGGCTAGCTTTCCTCATGGTAACAAGATGGCTGCCACAGCTCCAAACATTATACACAGTCTTGACAGTGGAAGTGGAGGACAGTGGACAGTGGCAGTGGAAGAAGAGGGACCAGTTAATTCCTATGTTCTCTCTTTTTTCCTTTTATTTTCATTTCTTTTGTGTTATGTCTACTATATCTGTCTAAACTTTTTTCTGTGCATACATTGGGAAGATATTCACCTAATGTTAAAAAAAAAAGTCTTTTTGTACTTTGATACATTGCTTGATTTGTTTTTGTAATAAACATACTTTAAAAAAAAAAAGAGACTGATGAAGTCAGGATTCAAAAAAACACAACAAAACAGACCTTATGATGTCATTCACCTGCTTAAGATGCACCATTGTCTCCCCCACCACTGACAAGATAAAGGACAAACTCCTCGGCAGAGTATATAAGGCCTGCTGTGATCTATGGTCCCCATGGTCTTGCCACAGCACACAGGTCCTCAAACATGTCAGGAGCTTCTTTGGCCCTCCAGCTAGAGGACCTCCCCTCCCCTGCTTTCTCCGTGAAAGCCCTTTCTTCCTCAAAACCGAAACTAAATGATTGCTTCTTGGAGCCTCCCCAGGAACCTCTGTCAGAAGGTATTGCTCCCCTGTCCAGGGGCCATAGAATTGTATTTATCTTTCTATTTTAGTACGTTTTACAAACTGCCTTGCCCTGTGGTTAGTTTGAGACACAAACTAGCTGGAGCCCGCTTCCACTTGCTCTCAAGACCAGTTGGTTCTCTGCATCTCTCCCAAAGATGTCACACTGGCTCCTTGAAATTGGCCATGTGGGAATATTCATACCACAGGAACTGGCAAGCGCTGTACTAGAGCATTTTTTCCCTATGGAAAGCTGCTGGTTAGACATTCACCAGTGCACCCCAGTTTGGGTAGGTAGCCTTCTCTTCCACCCCCCAAAATCAACTCACTGAGGTCAGCCTTACTCCCTTCCTCAAGCACCTAGCACGGTGCTTTGCTCAGAGCAGGATGTTCACATCTAGATGATCAGCTTCTGGAAATGCGGTGTGAGCAGAAGGGCCATCCAGGAATCCGCTCGTTCCCCAGCTATGGGCCCAGCCCACCCTCAGCCCCTGGCCGCGGGCTGTGCAATGCAGGTTCTGCACTCTTAACAGAGAGACCGGGGCCACCTGCTGAGAGCGAACAGACAGGGCTTCATGGAAACAGGTGATGTCTAACCACCCTTGGCCTCCCTGGATCCCTAAATCTTACACAACAGAGAGGCTTCAGCGACTCCGGAAACGCCCCAGGCAGTTCAGGTCTTGGAAAATGCAAGGTGGATGGTTAAACCAGCCCAAGTAGCATTGATCCTCAGCTTACTTGTGGGGTCCGAGGGTTCGATCCAGTTCCCTAAAGCACTGTCTGTACTTTTCAAGGGAGATTGCAAGCGACAGAGAGGAGAGGGAGAGGTGGACCTGGGAGATGCTCTCACAGGATCCCTGAGCCCCCAGGTGTGCGGCCGTGACTCGCAATGCGCCCAGGTCTGTGCAGGGTATGGGGGTAGGGGCAGGTCCTCAGAGAAACGACAGGCTCAGCCATGAGACCAAGCCACTCGCACCACAAGACTGTACGGCCGTCCGCACTCGCGCCCAAGTGTGCCCTGGAAGCCCGTACAAGAGGCAGGGGCTGGGTCCCCACCCCCTCTGTTCCCCACCCCAGTGCTCATTCTGCAGGTCATTCTGAATCATGTGCGTTGAAGAAATCAATCTGAGTTCTGGCCTTTTGCACTTCGTTTCCCCATACGGACAATGAGGTGCCTGGGCTTCGTGGGCTCAGTGATGTCCCTCCCTCCGCATAAGCTTTGCCACCTTCTGTTTCTAGGTTTGAGCCAGCCCAGAGCTCAGGGAAGACTGAGTGTGCAGGGGGTTGCCCCGCCCCCTGACCTGCCCCGCCCCCCGCCCCTCCCTGCCTCCCTGGCTCCGCCCCAGTGCAAACCAGCGTCTGCTGCCTGGAGCCCACCCAGCTGGCTGGGAGCACCTCCAGTGCCTGCCTGTGGGGGCCGAGTGACGAGCACGAGATGAGAGGGAAACTCAGCACATGTCCGCACCGCCATCCCTCCCGCAGCTTCCTCGACTGGAAGGTCGTCAGAGGCACGTCAACACCTTGGCAGCTTCTATTCTAGGCACACACGCAGAGAGAAGGCAGGGGGGCGCCTGGACCCTGCAGAGCCAGCCTGCGGTGGATGAGAGCCGAGTCACAGGAGGGGCACAAGCTGGCCTGCACCCCACCCAACAGTCTCCAGGGCTCTGGGGAGAAAGTGGGCAGAGAAATGTTTCTTACTGGAATTTTCTGCCTCCTAGACACTTCATAATTCATCTCCTTTCCTCCTTATCATAACTCCATGGAGAGATGCTCTGCCCCCATTTTTCAGATGAAGCTCAGTGAGGTGCCATGTCTTGCCCAAGGTCACTCTGGCCTCCGGGACCAAGATCTTTATGGAAGACAGCTAAAAGGAACTGAGTGCCACACTTTGAACAAACCTAGGAAGTAGGAACCACCCAAACACTTGCTCACCACCCAGATTTTTACAGGAAAACAGTGGAGTCCGCCCCTCCTACCTCAACTAATCGTGCCACTTACCGGAGGGCCACACCATGCGGTGAGTTATGGGATATGATAAAGCCTTTGTCCTTGGTCTGGGGCAATGAGGAGGCTTTGGAGCTTTCAGATGTGTCCGTGTGGTGAGGAGGGTGCCAGTAAGTGGGGGAATGGCTTGGTGGTGCAGAGGTGGCCGAGGGAGACCCATTGGAAGCTGTTGCAGGGGTCTACACGAGAGATGATGATGCTCTAGAGGCGGGTGGTAACAGCAAGAGGCAGAGAAGTGGGCGCACTCCAGAGACACGAAATCAGCAAGGCTGGGCGATGCACTACAGGTGGGGGTGAGGGAGAGGGAAGTCGAGGATGGTTCCAGGTCCCACTCCGTGGAGACCTGGGTGGAGAAGACCTGATCTTGGGATCTGATTGATAAGACTGAGAAGACGTGCCCAAGGCGTCCCAGCCAGCTTCAGTCCTGGACTCCTGGTCAGTTTCTGAACATGCAGCACACACTGAGCAGAGTAGGGTCCGAGTGAGGGGCAGGGGGCGCTGCTTTCTCTTGGTCCCCCTAGTGAGACCCTAGAGACACACCCAGGTCATCATGGTGTGCTCCACGCGCATTCCATAGTATCCCGCGCAGTCCATGGTGCACAGGGGTCCCGACAACATTTTTGAATTCTAATCTGTCTCTGGAAAGTTACGCCTCCTGGGAACTCAGATTCCATCTCTGTTTAAAGCATTCGTGCTGATGATAAAATGATATCAGGGATGCGAAAGATCTTTGGATAGTACCAAGCATAAGTGAATACAAAGTGTTTTGATTACAAAGCGTGGGGTGGGGCTGAGATATGAAGATGAGAAGGAATAGTGTCACAGGTGGCAGTGGGGGTGGGAGCAGACACAGCCCAAGCACAGGCCTGGGAAGGGGACAGGGCAAGGCCATTGAAAAGGAAAGGTGGGTAGACCAGCTAAGTGCTTTCATGTACATTCTCTTGCTACTCAAAGTTCACAGCATCCTTATTAAGGGAAATATCATTTCCTCATTTTTCAGATAAGGAAACAGGTGAACGCAGTGGGACAAGTTGTCCATGCTCACCAGTTCCTAAGTGGCCAAGCCAGCTCTTCTCACTCTCAAGCAGCCAAGCCCTCAACAGATGTAAAATTGCTTCCCAGAGTAAAATCTAAAGGTGGCTTTTAGAGGATGACAGCCTCGCCAGGAACTAGTTGAGGGGAGGAACTAGTTGAGGGGAGGACTTTTGAAGGTCAAGTCTAATAACCCAGGGCAATTCTGAGAAAGAAATTGGCCTTCCTTGAGTCGGGCCCCAGCAAATAAGTGTGCTCTCCTCATTTCAAAAGCCCACGTCTCACAGAGGCAGTGGGCAGGCCAGAGGGGTGAGGTTCTGTGCACGTGACTCTCCTGCAGCCGCTCTGGAGGGGCAGCAGGCACGGAAGACGCTGTCTGCTGATCAGCTGCATGGGCAAAACTTAATTGCTTCCCTGAACCTGAAACATATCAAACTGCATAAATAAATGTGCTTTAAATTATTAATAAAGGCATTTACATCCGAAGCATGAAAATTAATTTAATTTCTTATGCTAAACTGGCTGGCATGGCATGTGATTTGAAGATTCAGAGACACAAAGGGCAGGGAAGAAAATGATGGGAGTTGCGTTATCTTGGGCATTTTGCATTTAAGTTCCTAGAAAATAATAAAGAAAGAAGGAGAGGAAAGAAAGGGTGGGAGGAAGTTCTCCTGCAGACCCAGATGAAAGCCGCTTCAACAAGAGAAGCAAGAACGGAGAGGCCACTTTTCCCTGGGGCTCCTGCATGTTGAAATGCCCTGGAAGATTCAGGGAGCCTGCGTTTCTGGGAAGGCTGAATTGCTTGGCTTTCGCAAGCGCAGACATAATTAAAGCTGAGGTTGGGATGGGTGCATCAGATGAACTTGGAAAGCAGGCCTGAAGCATCAGCTAATGCCTGTGTGCCTGGGGGGAAGGCACCCGGGGACCCCCACCACCTGCCCACAGCTCACCCTGACACTGTCAGAGCATCATCCCTTCGGCTTCCAGAAGCAGGGTGGTACTCAAATAGCCCTGAGTCTGAACCCCAGCTCGGCCACTTACTAGCTGAATATCCTTGACCCAGCTTCTCCTCTCTGAGCCTCAGTGTCTTCACCTGCAAAGTGGGTTCATAGTATCTGTCTCACAGCATCTTGGTAAGGATGCAGCATGGCATTTGGGAATTGCTGAACCCTGAATCCAGGCATTATTAGGGCAAGTGATACTCCCACCCACGTTCTCAGTATTTTTGATATCCATTGATAATGCCCAGATACTTTTATTTTGCAGGAGAGAGAGTAAAGGAGATGTTGGATTGGGGGCTTGGTCTGAGGAGAGAGCAGAGAAAGAGAGATGATACGGGACTTCTCATCCAGCCCCTGGGACTGGGTTGAGTTCTAAGATCTAGAAGCTGGAGAGTCAGAAGTCGAAAGGTTCTGTAAGACTGTGGGCAGAAACAGAGCTGCCCTGGGGCCCATGGAGGTGGAGAGGTGCACCCTCCTCTCCTCGGCCTGGAAGGTCTGTGTGCCAGTGTTCAGTGCCCTGGTGGAGGAAGGCGGCCCCCTCACAGACCAGGGGTCATGCTGGGTAGCGGCAGTGGGCACAGACATGGCGATTCAAGCAGAAGAGGAAGGGTGGGGTAGACACGGAGAGTGACGAGGCCTCCAAATACCCAGGGAACACTCAGATCAAGCGGTGGGGGCCAATGCAAGCAAACGCGCCAAGATTTTCTAGTCACAGGCTGGGGGGCTGGTACACCTGGAATACATCTCTGAAATGCCTGTCATTAGGCCAGGCATGCAGTAGGTGTCAATACAAGTCAGCTCCCTTCCCACTGCCCTTCGTTCCTGTCTTGTGCATTTATCGGGTGTTTATCTTTTCCCTTATCCAGTCTCCAGGGGAGTCAGGAGTTAGGGTTCTGTACTTTAAACCCCAAAGAGAACCAAGACAAATCCTAACGCACCGACCAACACTTACTAAAACACCAGCTAACGCTTAACTCTGCATTTTCCTTTCAGTAGTTGAGTCAGTGTTTTTACTTCTAATTCCCTTGAGCCTCAACAATCACCTTGTAAAGTAATATTCCCCACTTTACAGTAAGGGAAACTGAGGCCCAAGGAAAGTGACCTGTCTAAGGTCATGCAGCTTGTAAACAAACCACAGAGCGGGGATTTAACATGTGGTGCTCTGATGGTGTGGAGAGGGTCAGGCTGAGCTGGGGCTAAATCCCAGCCCAAACTCTTAACGGTGGCCATCGCTGGCATGGGGTAAGCCCTTACTGAGTGCTGTGCACCGTGCTAAAAGCTTTGCAAGCAACACCTGTACATCTTCACAAAAGCCCTACCACGGAAACACTCCTGTTATCCCTGCGTGTAGAAAGAACACTGCTTTGGGAAAGCTGTTTCCTTTCCTCTAGTCTAGTGAGTAGAAAGTCAGGATTCCAGCAGCTCAGGCCAGAGGCCATGCCTCTAACTACGAGCCATACTGCCTCTCACTTAACAAATTCTGCTTCCCCATCTGTGGGACAGAACTGATGATACTGAACGCGCAGAGCTGCTGTGCGGACCAAAGTGGGCCACAGCGCCCTTAACACAGAGTGAGCTCTCAAAGGACGCGTGTTCCCCTTCCCAGACCCAAGCTGGGCCCAGAGGATGGAAATGAAAAGACAGACCCAAGATGGGTGACTGGGCAAGGAGTCCTCTGCTCCCCGGTGGGACGGGTGCCGGCCTCAGAGTTTGGTACCTGCCCAGGACCTGGGCATCTGCCTCAGCCCTGCCCTGGCTCTCTCTGCCTAGCAAGGGGTAAAAAGCACAGCTGGTCCTTTTTTCAACGATTTCCACTTTTGTTGCAATCAGTTAATGCCCGTATCCCGTTCTCTCTGCCGTGTGCTATTTATTGCGCTATTTCTACCAGTAAAGGACACGGCTTAGTTGAAAGAATGGTGGCTGTAGCGTGAAAAGAGCCTGCATTCGAACCCTGTGGGGCCTTGGGCAGGTTACCATGACTCTGGGAATGCCAGGTTCCTGCCTGGCAATGAACGGCTCCCTTACCTAAGGTTACAGCTAGCTGCGCGTCGGGGCCGTGCCGTCATTGCCACGGCATCACCGCTTCTCCAGTGACTGCCCTGGATGCAGCCTCAAAGGCAGCACAACGGAACAGAAAGGTCCCGTTTGCCGTGGGAATAGGCCTAAAGAAAAGGGGACACCTGCTCCAACTTTTTTTAGTAGTTTTTTCCCTCAGATATTAGCCTTCCTATTTGCCTTTGAAAACACTTCCAAACTGCAACACCGTAAAAAAAAGTTTCTTAAATAAAAATGTAATTAATGCTTATTAAAGACAGTATGTTAGTTTAGGTTGAATGTACAATACAGGAGGACATTATATTATCCATCTTTAGATTTTATAGCAAACGGGGCCTCCTCTTGTAATCACAGTATGAAGTCATTGTATAGGACTTGAAGAATAGTTTTCTATTTTATAGTACAATAGAAGTTTACAGATGTTACCTCTCTTATGGCACGCTTTTGGTCGCTGCTTTGATTTAGCCGTCATTGGGACGTTTGTTGGGGATGTCATCGTCAGTGACTGCATGACACAGTATAGTTGCTAAGAACAAATTGTTAAGAGAGCAGGGTATTCCTGAATCCCACATATTTTGTGTTGGGCTTGGGAGGAAACATCCCGTTTATTCAGAAATTGCTTTCACCCCGAGTCAAGAATTCCACCTGGAGGACGGGAATAGCTGAGCTACACACTGGCTTCAGTACTGTCCTCTCTTCCTTTCTGGGTCCCCTCTCTGTCCCCAGGTGAGTGCCTCTGAGCCCCCTGAAATTGTATGTAAACCAACATGCATCTTTTTCTGGGAAAGTATAAAACAGCAAGAGCCAGACTCTCGCTCGTCCTGGCTGTGGCTGTCCTCAACCCCAAACTCCCACATCACGGTCCCGCCCTCAGCCTCCTGGTCCCCTTCCTCCTCTCGGCCCAAGAGCTCAGCTCATGGTTGGGCTGGGAGTCTGGCCAGACCTGATCCCTAGCTCCCCATACCACGTGGCCCTAAGCAAGTCTCCTCGTTTCCTCATCTGTAAGACAGGAATGAGCTCTCTACCCCTGGGGATGATGGGACACCGCTATACGATGTTGTGACAGTGATTTGTCAACTGTAAAGAGCCGTTGGTTATTATCATTATTCTATCTCAACTAGATGATCAGCAGACACTCATCTAATTGGATTCATTTCTCCTAAAATAGCCGTGATCCAAATGGAAGGAGGAGCACTTGGGTTTCAAAAGATGAAGTTGTAGGGCTTCCCTGGTGGCGCAGTGGTTGAGAGTCCGCCTGCCGATGCAGGGGACATGGGTTCGTGCCCCGATCCGGGAAGATCCCACATGCCGTAGAGCGGCTGGGCCTGTGAGCCATGGCCGCTGAGCCTGCGCGTCCGGAGCCTGTGCTCCGCAACGAGAGAGGCCACGACAGTGAGAGGCCCGCGTACCGCAAAAAAAAAAAAAAAAAAGATGAAGCTGTAGGGGAAGGAACGTCTCCCCTCCTCCCCATTCCCACCTGCTTGCAGAGAATGGGATGCCCCTCCTCCCCCGCTTCGAGATGAGCTGGGGAGGGGGCTTCCTGAGGGCATGCTGATCGGAGTGGGGAGCCCACCAGCCCTGGGCTGGATCTCGGCTGGGCAGGGGCACAGCAACCATGAGCCATTCCCTGCCTTTCACTTCCTGTGCTCGGGTGTGAGGGCCCCATGCTCCCTGCTCCCAAGGATGCCAGGTGCTCACCTGGCCTGTAACGTGCTGAGACTGGGCCTTTTTGGAACTGTGGCCCAGGGGTGCAAGCCACCCAGGTCAGACCCTGGAAGGAAAAAGGGGCAAGGGGCTCCTGAACTCCTAACATGCTTCTTGCTGCGCCGACTATATCTCAAGTAGTAGAATGTCAGACCCTGATTTATTTATTTGTTCAATAAACATGTCTTAAGCAGTTACTACAGAGCAGTTTCTATGACAGTCACTGGGAGTAGGGAGATCAGAGGAGGAAGAGAAGGAAAGTCTCGACTAATGGTCTCATTTTCTCTCTCACATAAATTCTTCTCTGTTTGTGTCATACTGGGTTTCTGTTTCTCCCCAGCACACACACATCCTCTCTCTCTACATACACACGCATGCACGCACGCACACACATCTCACCCTCTGCTCTCCTGAGAGGCCCCTTGGCTGAGGCTGCTTTCTGGAAGCCAGAGGGAGCTCAGTGGGAAGAATAGGTCGATTCAGCGGACAGAGCATCCTCCCCTCCCCCAGCCCCCTCTCCTCCCCCTGTCCCCCCCCCCTCCCCGGGCCTGCTCTGAGTTCCTCCCTGTGCTGGACCAGCCTCAGTGGCTCACCCAATCCTTGTTCTGCTGCACTTCAGTTTCTAAGATTCAGGAGAAGAAAAAGACAGAAAGGGAAGCGTGGGAAGCCCAGCTCGGGGCTGGGGCGGGGGGCGGCGGGCAGAGGGGAAGGGGGCCCCCCGGCTCGGCTCAGAGCAGAAGTTGCTGATGCTCTGTGGTCGCCTTGCGGTTCAGGCCCAGAGGCTCATGCAGGCGGCTGTGGGAGCGTGATAACCGGCTAGCTGATTCGCAGAACCTCTCAAGGTTTTGTAATAAAAGGTGAGAGCACAGAGCCGGAGATAGCAAGGTGCAGCAGTGACAGTGGAGGGCAGGCCCGAAACCCACCGCCCTCTGGCACGGGAGTGCAAGTGGGGCCACCTCAGAGCAGAGACCATGGATCCGCTTGGAAGAATTCACTTGTCCTTGGCTGGGGTGAGGCTGTGACAAGAACAGAGATGAGCTCAGGCGGTCCCTTCCTGGGGGTCCACACATGTCTTGGGCCGCAGGCCACCTGCCGCAGGGGTCTCGTCCCGTGCTTGCCATCTCAGTGTAGACATGACCCTGGCCTGGGCCGCAGCAGGACTGGTAAACGCACCGGGAACGGATGCCTGGGAGGGAGGGCCCGACAGGAGGCAAGGCCTAGTGCCTCAGACACCCTCAAAGTGCAGACAGAGCCACTGAGGCAAGGACCCACTGATGTTCCATGACCGTGGGACCGTGTCCTTGTTCCTTACCGTGGCATTCAAGGTTGCCTCACTCTGGGCCAGCCTACCTTTCCAGCACCATCTCCTTCCACTTGCCCCATGGACGTGGTTGTCCCCCCAGACCGTTTGCCTGGCACACCACATACCTAGCTCTTTGATGCCTCAGTGCCTTTGCACCCGCCAGTTCCTTTGCCCATAATGCTCTTCCCTCTCCTTCCTGCCTGGATGATCCCTCAGGAAACTGCTCAAGTGTTTCCTCCCCTGTGAAGACTTTCTTTGCCCCCCAGGGAAGAACTCACCCAGCCCCTCCACCAGGTGTGCCTATGCAGTCGTCTACTTTGCACACCCCTCCACCAAGAAGACCATTTGTTTTCCTGTTGGTCTCTCCTCCAGGCTGTGAGGAGAGGGACTGTGTCTTAATTTACATTTCAGTCCCAGACTCTAGGTCAGAGTCTGGCATTTGGTGGTCGCCTGATACTGACGGATGGATGGTTAGATGCATGGATGGGAAGGATGAAGGGAGGATCCAGGCAGGTGCGCCTAGGTAGGGCAAGTACTTCAGAGCCCACTACCTCCAACTGAGGGACATCCTAGGACCTGTACTCAGGCTAGAGGCCTGGGGTCCTCTTTCTGCCAGAAAGCCCTCTCCTCATACTTGTCACACTCTCATGCCTTGAATCCCAAGTAAGTGCTTGAGCCCTGCAAAGTGGTTTGAACCCCAAAGCCTTAGAGGGCACCCTGGGAACCCAGCTTTCCCCTTAGAAATTCCCCAGAGGATGGCAGGCGCTTCCCCTCGGCACGTCCCAGCCTGCTCTGCGCAGCGAAGGAGGACAGGAGGGTTGATCGGCCGCAGGTCGGTGCCATTGCTCACCCCCACCCAGGCCTGGCTACTGACTGCTGTGTCCCTCCCTCCCACACCCCTTAGAGTCCCCCTGCCCAGGACTGGAATCTCAGGGCCCCTCCCATGCCTTCAAGTGACCTCAGCGTCCAGCCCCAGCAAGAGGCTTCACCCCCAGAGGCATGAGCCTCTCAGAACAGACACCAGCCTTGCCCAGAGCAGATGGGCAGGGCCAGGAGGTGGGCAAAGGCCCACTACAACTGGTTTAAACCAGACTTGGCCAGTTTTACTCTGTCTGAGCAGTAGAGGAAGTGAGTGGTTCACACCGGGTGAGTTGGAGTGGTCAGCGGTGTCTGGAAGCATTTTCTACAGCTGGATCTACTTCTGAGCACAGGGGAGACATGGCCTACACCCTGTGGCCCCTCACGGGACAGGGCCCACCACCAGCCCGCAAGAGACACTCCAAAAGGCGGCTATCACTTCCTGTCTCCTCAGCCCAGACCTGGACCAACCTTGTTTGGTGGGGACCTTCAGAGGAGTGAGGGAGCTCTGTCAACTTCCCTGCCCTGGACACACAAGGGTTTCCAGAGAACTCTGTCCACCTCTGTGTCCCTTCTCTCTAGTTCTTCAGAGAACTATTTATGCTCCTGGCTTGTGGGCAGCCAGACTTGTGGTGGGTGTCCTCCCTTCTGGAATCTTCCATCTCCACCCTCCTCCATGAGCATCAAGGCCAGGCTGCTGCGCCTCCAAGAAGGAGGTGCCCACGGCAGCCGGGGCCGTCAAGTCCTTGCCTGGTTTGCCCTGGGAGGCTCACGCTGCAAAGACACAGCCAGGCCTCTGCTGGGCCGCCCGCACAGGCCACCTCTCAGCCCTGCCTATTTTCCTAGACAGAAACAGGCCTTTCCTGCTCCTCTAACCCCATGAAGCCGAAATGCTCCTCAAAGAAGCAAATGAGAGGGGAAACCCAAACCAAAGACACCTACAGGGAGTCTCAGCTCTGGGGAGAAGGAGCTCAGCAGTGGACGTGAGTCCTGACCTCCTGTTTCCCGGCTGTGCCGTGTTTGGGCAAATCCCTTCTCTGAGCCTCAGTTCCCTCCCCTGTAAGATGGTCATGAGCACAGAAAGCCTGTGCACAGGGTCTTCTGGAAGCCATTGGTGAGATTTGGATTCTGAGCTTAGGAGGGATGGCACATAGTAGGTGTTCAACAGACAACAATCCCCTTCCTGTTCCTTCATTGCCCACGTGGGTTTAGGGTCTCCACCTGGAGCACTCAGGCCCTGGGAGCCCACCCAGTGCTGAATCCCGGCTGGTTACGCCTTGGGAACTAATCTAGCCTGTGTGACCCACCCTCTCCTTTCGGTGATGTCGGCCCAGTCACAGTTGTCACATCGGAGGGCCATCAGGGAGCTGCACGAGAGGACACAAGCAAAGCATTTAGTGCAGTGCCTGGTATATAGTAAGTGCTCAACGAACGCTGGTGGCTGTGTGGTAATTTTTTTCCCACACACCGAAACCCAAGCACACGGCTCTCCTTCTTGATGCTAGAGTCACAGACACCATGGCCCCTGGGGCCCAGGAAGAGCCAGGTGGGTGTGCTGCCCCAGCCCAAGCCCTCAGAAGGTGCTTCATCAACCACATCTCCCCACTGAATCAACATAACCTGTGGGTCAGGAACATCACCCCTCCTGGGGTCAGGTCAGGAAACGTGCCGGTGAATTCACAGAACTGGAGAACTTTTCCCTGCAAGCTCACCACCTGGGCCCAGGTGCACTGGGAGGTGTGTGGAGAGGCAAGCCAGCTCCGCGCAGCTGGCCTGTGGCCAGGGTACCTGGTGGGAAAGCAAAGGCTTGGAGCAGCAGCGGTGCAGCTGGGGGAAACCCAGAGACTGTTTCACAGCGGAGAAACCCAGGTTCAAGAGGGAAGTGAATGCACCAGCTCACTTGACTGCTGATGCTAGCTCACATCATTGCTTTTGCCACCTTACCACAGGCCAGGACGCCAAGAGATCTTCCTTCATACTCAGACATTGTACAATTTTCATCGCTTTTGAAAAGGCATCGTTTTTATGGCTGACTTCTGACCATTTTGTTCCTCAATTTTTTGCTGTGATCAACTCTTTCGAGGTGAAATTCGCATAACATACCATTAACCATTTTAAAGAGTGCGATTCAGTGGTATTAAGCGCATTCACAATGCCACCAGCTCTCTCTACTTTCAAAACTCTTCATCACCCCATAAAACGACCCATCCCCATTAGATAACCCCTCTCCGCTCCTGCCGCTTCCTCCAGTCCCCTGGTAACCTCTAATCTGCTTTGTCTCTCTATGGATCTGCTATTCTGGGTACATCATATAAAAGGAATCATACAACATGTAGGTTCATCCACTTACAATAGGCATCAACGCTTCATTCCTTTTACGGCTAAATCATATTCCATTGTATAGATATACTATTCATCCACGGAGGGACATTTGGATAGGTTCATCATTTCTGAACGTACAGGAAGATTGAAAGAATAACGAATGAGCACCCATTTTCCCACACCCCTGACTCGGCAACAGGGTCTGGACTAGGGCGAGGCCAGTGAGGTGTTCTGGCATGATGCTGAAGGAGGGGCTTGCTTCCAGGGTCTGCAGGTGGAGGGTGGACCCTGAGAGGGGTGACTCCCTCAAGGTTGCACCTGAGGCATCTCGCCAGCCTCATCCTAGTCTTGGGCCTGTTGGACCATTTTAATCTGTTGCCATTCTTGCTTTATCCTACTCTCTAAACAGTGGTTTTTGCTGAAAAGTTGGAAGATGGGTTATGGACCACATGACACTTCACTCCTCAGCTGCTCTGCTCGCATCTGCTCCCAAGGATGTTGTGGGTAGTAACAGATCCATTTCCCGCTGCGATTCCATGTTGCCTCCATCCCCCATCCATAGTCACATTTCCCAACTGCCACAAGTACATCTTTAACAGATTTTTCGTTTGGTTGGTTGTTCGGTTTGTTTTTAGCAGGATCTGATGAAGCTTCCCACATGGGTCTCTTTCACACTAAAATGGCCTGGGTTTCCCCCTCCACCCCATTGCATAGGCCATCTGAAGAGTCCAAACATTATAGTCTATTAGATGGCCCACACCGTGGATTTGCCTGATTGTTTTCTCTTGCTGTCATTTAACCCGTTCCTCTGTCCCCTGAAGGCCCCGTGGCCTGTGAGTTGGGGCTAAAGGTTAAACATTTTGGCAAGAATACTCCATAGGTGAGGTGTATTCTGCACACCACCTCACATCGGGAGGCCTGTGATGCCAGGTTGTCCTACTACGAATGGATGATGCTAAGTTGATCAGTTGGATAAACACGTGGCCACCATAGCTCTCTGTTGTAATGGTCATTTCCCCTTTTTAATTACTAAGTAAGCCAGGGGGACTCTTAGCAGCTGCACAAGTATCCTGTTCCCCAACAACCCTTCTTCACCCACTGGTTTTTAGCACCTATTCACAATCCCTGCCCAAATCAAGAATGACACTGGACGTTGTGAAGTGTGACTTTCTAGCTTTATCATTCCTTCTGCAGTTCTCAGCTGGCATTCTTTTGTAAAGAAGAGCTTCCCACTGCCCCACACCTTCCCTCTTTCTCTTATACACACATACACACTGAATTCGTGGATTCTTCTATCTGTTTCATGTGAAATTTTAAGCAAATTTTATACTTGTTTAATTAACGATAGCCATTATTCTTTCTGATGCTCAGAAGTCCCAAATTTCACCAAAGGGATCCCTTCAAGTCTACTTCTTCTTTTTGACCTGAACCCACTGGTTTTTAAGCACATCCTTACTTCTTGGAACAATAAGATGTCCGAGACTTACCCTGTACTTTCCTTTCCTCAGATCTGGAATCAGCCATTTCTCCAGAAAGGTTGAGTTCCTTTTGGTGGGCAGTGGCCTTAGAAATCAAGACTGGTGGACACTGGGCGGTCTCATTACTCCCGGGCTTCTTGCTTCTATGCTCTTTCAGTGGACAGAGGTGGGAAAACTGAAATCAGTTTATAATATTACCAGTTCAAATTTAACAGTTGTTTTTCTTTCTTGACTCTTTTGTTGTTAATTTAATATTTGAATCTCTTTTCTCTTACACAGAAAATCTTGGTTTCTACTAGCATTAATATATGTACTTATTTGCTTTATTTTACGCTGTTCATAAAACACTTGCAAAATTACCATAACATCGTTACTATCAACAATAAATGTACTAAGTAAACTTAAGACTTCTTTGTAGTTTTATTTGTCCTTGGAATATATCCGACCACAGATGTATGGTCAGGGTGTATTTTTCAAGTTACTTGAAATAATTCTTTTTGCTGTATGCTTAGGCTCTCAAATTAATTTACAGTCAGGTTTATTTATTTATGTTTGTGAACAATTTGTGAGTTTTCTCCGTATTTTAACTTGATTTAATTTTTTGAACATACAAACCATGTACACGGTTAAAAACACAAAACTATGTTAAAAACCATGTTTGGAGCAGTTTCACTCCCACACCAATGCTCTCCACGCTGTTCCTACCCCCCCAACCCATTAGTTTCTAGTTTGTTCTTCTTGTGTTTTTTTATGTATGTGTGAGTGTACGTGTTCATATAGACATATTGTTATTTTCCCTTCTTTCCTACAGAATTTATGTTAGGGTGCAGATGAGAGCCCATAGAGTTCTGGGAGAGAAAACAATTTTAAAGGAGACAAATTTGCTTTTGAATCTCAGATCCACTCCCTGCTAGCTGTGCGGCTTGAGCTAGTCACATAACCTTTCTGAGCCTGTCTCCTTATCTGTGAAATGGAATAACAATCCCTACCTTGTCTGGTTTGGGCTAGGATTAAGATCTTTGTCATATCACATTAAAAATTAAATTCTAGATAGAATAAGGAGTAAAATGTCAAAGACAGGGCTTCCCTGGTGGCGCAGTGGTTAAGAGTCCGTCTGCCAATGCAGGGGACACGGGTTCATGCCCCCGTCCGGGAAGATCCCACGTGCCGCGGAGTGGCTGGGCCCGTGAGCCATGGCCGCTGAGCCTGCGCGTCCGGAGCCTGTGCTCCGCAACGGGAGAGGCCACAACAGTG